CTGTTTCTGACTGTTGCTCTGAGCCTCTCTTTCTGACTGTTGTTCTGAGCCTCTCTTTCTGACTGTTGTTCTGAGCCTCTCTTTCTGACTGTTGTTCTGAGCCTCTCTTTCTGAGTGTTGCTCTGAGCCTCTCTTTCTGACTGTTGTTCTGAGCCTCTCTTTCTGACTGTTGTTCTGAGCCTCTCTTTCTGACTGTTGCTCTGAGCCTCTCTTTCTGACTGTTGTTGTCTCTTTCTGACTGTTGTTCTGAGCCTCTCTTTCTGACTGTTGTTCTGAGCCTCTCTTTCTGCTGTTGTTCTGAGCCTCTTGTTCTGACTGTTGTTCTGAGCCTCTCTTTCTGACTGTTGTTCTGAGCCTCTCTTTCTGACTGTTGTTCTGAGCTCTCTCTTGTTCTGACTTCTTCTGTTGCTCTGAGCTCTCTCTCTCTTTTCTGACTGTTGTTCTGAGCCTCTCTTTCTGACTGTTGTTCTGAGCCTCTCTTTCTGACTGTTGTTCTGAGCCTCTCTTTCTGACTGTTGTTCTGAGCCTGACTCTTTCTGACTGTTGTTCTGAGCCTCTCTTTCTGACTGTTGTTCTGAGCCTTTCTCTTTCTGACTGTTGTTCTGAGCCTCTCTTTCTGACTGTTGCTCTGAGCCTCTCTTTCTGACTGTTGTTCTGAGCCTCTCTTTCTGACTGTTGTTCTGAGCCTCTCTTTCTGACTGTTGCTCTGAGCCTCTCTTTCTGACTGTTGCTCTGAGCCAAAGATATTTCCAAGTCTGTGAGTTCCTGTTACTGACGTGGCAATCTTCTCCTCCTTCTCCTCCTTCTCCTTCTCCTCCTCCTTCTCCTTCTCCTCCTCCTTCTTCTCCTCCTTCTCCTTCTTCTCCTCCTTCTCCTTCTTCTCCTCCTTCTCCTCCTTCTTCTCCTCCTTCTCCTTCTTCTCCTCCTTCTCCTCCTTCTTCTCCTCCTTCTCCTCCTTCTCCTCCTCCTTCTTCCTGAGCATTCTCCGATGTTGACGTCTTTAAAGAAGCACATTTTTCTGAATTCCATGGTTATTGTTCCAATGTGTTTTTTTAATGTTTGTTTCATAAAAACAAAACAAAACCAGTTTGTATCTGTTTTTATTCTTCTGTTTGGATTCAGCGGCTACAGCAGAGAGCTAACAGTAGCTCACAGCATTAGAGAGGTAACAGTAGCTCACAGCATTAGAGAGGTAACAGTAGCTCACAGCATTAGAGAGGTAACAGTAGCTCACAGCATTAGAGAGGTAACAGTAGCTCACAGCATTAGAGAGCAAACAGTAGCTCACAGCATCTAAAGATACAGCAGCTTCATCAGAGAGCTAACAGAGGACAATGATGTTTCACCTCATCCTGGCTCTGGTCCTGGCTCTGGTCCTGGCTCTGGTCCTGGCTCTGGTCCTGGCTCTGGTCCTGGCTCTGGTCCTGGATCTGGTCCTGGATCTGGTCCTGGCTCTGGTTCTGGCTCTGGTCCTGGCTCTGGTCCTGGCTCTGGTCCTGGCTCTGGTCCTGGCTCTGGTCCTGGATCTGGTCCTGGCTCTGGTCCTGGATCTGGTCCTGGATCTGGTCCTGGCTCTGGTTCTGGCTCTGGTCCTGGCTCTGCTCCTGGATCGAGTCCTGGACCCTGGATCTGGACCCAGACTTGGAGCGGTCTACAGTCCAAGGCTGTAAAGGACCTTGAACCGAGGATCTGAGCGTCTGAGGCACAAGTGGCATTTCCTGAGTTTAATGTTTTTATGACGGCAATTCAGACGCTCTGCTCTTTGTCCCCACGACAAGACCAGGACCAGGACTCATGAAGACCAGGTCCAGGACTCATGAAAACCAGGTCCAGGACTCATGACAACCAGGTCCAGGACTCATGACAACCAGCATGAAAACCAGGTCCAGGACTCATGAAAATCAGGTCCAGGACTGATGAAAACCAGGTCCAGGACCCATGAAAACCAGGTCCAGGACTCATGAAAACCAGGTCCAGGACCCATGAAAACCAGGTTCAGGACCCATGAAAACCAGGTTCAGGACCCATGAAGACTCGGTCCAGGACCCATGAAAACCAGGTCCAGGACTCATGAAAACCAGGTTCAGGACCCATGAAAACCAGTTCCAGGACCCATGAAGACCAGGTCCAGGACCCATGAAAGACACAATAGTCTTTCTGAAAGCAGCTAAGTGCCTCCAATAAACCCTAGACTTTACAGTCACTGCCACAGACTGATCAGAGGACAGAGGACAGAGGACAGAGGACAGATGAGAGAGGACAGAGGACAGAGGACCGAGGACAGAGGACAGAGGACAGAGGAGAGAGGAGAGAGGACAGAGGAGAGAGGACAGAGGACAGAGGAGAGAGGACAGAGGACAGAGGACAGAGGACAGAGGAGAGAGGACAGAGGAGAGAGGAGAGAGGACAGAGGAGAGAGGACAGAGGACAGAGGACAGAGGAGAGAGGACAGAGGACAGAGGACAGAGGACAGAGGAGAGAGGACAGAGGAGAGAGGAGAGAGGAAAGAGGACAGAGGACAGAGGACAGAGGAGACAGAGGAGAGAGGAGAGAGGAAAGAGGACAGAGGACAGAGGACAGAGGAGAGAGGACCGAGGACAGAGGACAGAGGACAGAGGACAGAGGACAGAGGACCGAGGACCGAGGACAGAGGACAGAGGACAGAGGACAGAGGAGAGAGGACAGAGGAGAGAGGAGAGAGGAAAGAGGAGAGAGGAAAGAAGACAGAGGACAGAGGACAGAGGAGACAGAGGAGAGAGGAGAGAGGAAAGAGGACAGAGGACAGAGGACAGAGGACAGAGGAGAGAGGAGACAGAGGAGAGAGGAGAGAGGAAAGAGGACAGAGGACAGAGGACAGAGGAGACAGAGGAGAGAGGAGAGAGGAAAGAGGACAGAGGACAGAGGACAGAGGAGAGAGGACAGAGGACCGAGGACCGAGGACAGAGGACAGAGGACAGAGGACAGAGGACCGAGGACCGAGGACAGAGGACAGAGGACAGAGGACAGAGGAGAGAGGACAGAGGAGAGAGGAGAGAGGAAAGAGGACAGAGGACAGAGGACAGAGGAGACAGAGGAGAGAGGAGAGAGGAAAGAGGACAGAGGACAGAGGACAGAGGACAGAGGAGAGAGGAGACAGAGGAGAGAGGAGAGAGGAGAGAGGACAGAGGACAGAGGACAGAGGACAGAGGAGAGAGAACAGAGGACAGAGGAGACAGAGGAGAGAGGAGAGAGGAAAGAGGACAGAGGACAGAGGACAGAGGACAGAGGAGAGAGGAGAGAGGAAAGAGGACAGAGGACAGAGTACAGAGGACAGAGGAGACAGAGGAGAGAGGAGAGAGGAAAGAGGACAGAGGAGAGAGGACAGAGGAGAGAGGACAGAGGACAGAGGACAGAGGAGCGAGGACAGAGGACAGAGGACAGAGGACAGAGGAGAGAGGAGAGAGGAAAGAGGACAGAGGACAGAGGAGAGAGGACAGAGGAGAGAGGACAGAGGACAGAGGAGAGAGGACAGAGGACAGAGGACAGAGGAGAGAGGAGAGAGGAAAGAGGACAGAGGACAGAGGAGAGAGGACAGAGGAGAGAGGACAGAGGACAGAGGACAGAGGAGAGAGGACAGAGGACAGAGGACAGAGGACACATACAGGTTATTGCACATTCTGATATAAGTTTAAATAAAGCAACATTTTTGAAAGTTTGATGAAAAAAACCAAAGAAATGAAATGTAGAAAACAACTTTGGACGGATTCTACAAACGTCAGAAAACAGATACAAAAATACAATGCCTGTACACAGCTGCCTGTACACAGCTGCCTGTACACAGCTGCCTGTACACAGCTGCCTGTACACAGCTGCCTGTACACAGCTGCCTGTACACAGTTGCCGATTCTCCAGCACAGATCAGAGAATCACACAGAGCCACTGGTAAATAAATGTTGTTAAATAATTACATAATCTGTTAAAAGTGGATTCTTTTGTTTTGCTAAATTGAATAAACCAGAGCCATTTGTGGAAACAGCAGTAAAATAAAAACTACATTAAAAGCAGTTTATTGTTCAGTTTACTGCGTGATAAAACTGGGCCCCCGGAGCCCCCTCAGGGCCCCCCGGAGCCCCCTCAGGGCCCCTCAGACCTTAGCGACGTCACTGCAGCAATTACACTGTTTTTACTGTTTTTAAGGTTTCCAAAGTGTGGTTCTAACGACATGTGTTTGTGGTCAGAGGTGATTACTGCGGGATCAGCCACAGCGCCACCTGCAGGTCAACACCGGACGATAACTTTACGGATTATACAGCACTTTTTACAGCACTTTGTATGGACATTTTATTTCTTTTTTTTTTTTTCTGACAACTTTTTCTTTTTTACTGAAACTTTTTACTGAGACCTTAGTTACGGACACCTTTCCCTCGCACGCTTCAGACATAACACAGAATTAATATTATTACAATATTGACAAATTCACCGACAGAAAAAGAAAAATAAACCTTTTGTTGTCGTAGCAATAATAACATTATTTATTCTACTTGGTCAAAGAAAAGTGAACCAAAATAAGACATTTCCCAAGATACACATTGTTCTGTATTAAAGCAGGAGTCTCGGGAGCTACCAGTAGCTCGCCAGCCCCTCTCATCACACATCTAATATAAATATAAGGTTTCACAGAATGATGACGTCATGTCCATTATCCATGTTTTGTCATAATTATTTCATCGTTTTATTATGACTTCAAAAAGGAGTAGCTCTCTGCCTCATCTGCTGTAGCTCTCTGCCTCTTCTGTCGTGGCTCTCTCCTGTCGTAGCTCTCTGCCTCTTCTGTCGTGGCTCTCTTCTGTTGTAGCTCTCTCCTGTTGTAGCTCTCTCCTGTTGTAGCTCTCTCCTGTTGTAGCTCTCTTCTGTTGTAGCTCTCTTCTGTTGTAGCTCTCTTCTGTTGTAGCTCTCTTCTGTTGTAGCTCTCTCCTGTTGTAGCTCTCTTCTGTTGTAGCTCTCTCCTGTTGTAGCTCTCTTCTGTTGTAGCTCTCTCCTGTTGTAGCTCTCTTCTGTTGTAGCTCTCTCCTGTTGTAGCTCTCTTCTGTTGTAGCTCTCTTCTGTATTAAAGTAACTGGACCGTGAGCCTCTGCGGCCTTTGAGTAAAAGCTTGACTGAAGTTTTGGCGCGGGTTGAGAAGTCTTTGATCTCACGTGACGTCCCTTTGATTTCCCCGCGGAGCTGCGCCACGTGCGCCGCCTACGTCACCGCAGCAGGAAGTCTGAATATTATTATTATTATTACTCTGATCCTCGGAGCCTTTGTTGATTACACATGGAGCTACCGCACCAGCAGGGGGCGCTAAGTGTGCACAGGAGGCAGCAGCCAAGGTACACACTTTCACACAGCAACACAACATCAGACACACAACAGGAGAGGCAGAGAGCTACAATAGGAGAGACAGAGAGCTACTTTTATACAGCAGAGAGACAGAGAGCTACAACAGCAGAGACAGAGAGCTACAACAGAAGAGGCAGAGAGCTACTTGTATACAACAGAAGCGAAGCAACAGCCAAGGTTACACACTTTCACACGAGCCAACACAACTTCAGAGACACACAACTCACTTTTAACACACATATTAACAGTTTATACAAAGCTTATGTCATTGTTCTTTATGTGAAAGAACTTTTAGTGTGGAAACAATTTGTAGTTTATTATCAAAATGAAATCTGTCTGTTTCACTTCCTGTTTGACTTTACGCCACACACACACACACACACACGCACACACACGCACACGCACACGTACACGCACACACACACACACACACACACACACACACACACACACACACACACACACACACACACACACACACACACACACACACACACACACACACACACACACACACACACACACACAGAGACACACACACACACACACACACACACACACACAGACTGCTTTAAGTATAAATCCCAGATGATAAAAAATAGCGTCAGAATTAAGACAATTTAAAAACCATCCAATAAGCTACACACTGATGCTGGAAAGGGCGCGGGGAGAAGTGTTGAACCTGATCTAAAGTAAATAACAGCTGATTTTTTGTTTAATTACCGAACGATAGAATAATCAAAGTAAAGCATCTGAAATGTCAGATTTTATTCTTCCCGCGTTGGGAACGATTCACATTATTCCCCCAAAATAACGTTCAGTCATTTATACTGAAAATGGGTTTTGTTTTTCTAAAATAGTAGCAATTATTGTTTGGGATTAGACAGTTTCGTGCTGGTTGCTGTCGCCGTTCACTGTTTTTCTAAATTGCTGGAAAAGGCCTTAAATTGTTGCATGACGTAATGACGTAATGGCGCTTCTTGCTGTATCTCCTCAGTGTCTGACAGACGTGAGCAGCTCTTTCAGATTTTAACATTTTCTTTAATTTAGCTTCTATCATCTCAGTAACAGAGAGTTCATCAGCGCGTGACCGTGCACGCCGCGCACGAGCCACACGCACCTCACGTGGACTGTACCCGTTACAAATATCACGATACTTAGTCCACTCAGATTCTCTCATAGTTTTCAGACTGCATACACACCTGGTATTATTTAAATGTGTGTATATAATATATATATATATATTATTATAATATATATATATATATATATATATATATATATATATATAATATATACATATACATATACATGTATATAGGCGCTATACAAATAAACTTTACTTACTTACATATATATATATATATATATATATATTATATATTTGTATATTGTTTTTATCTCAGGCGTTTAAAGGTCACGGTATAATGTGTGTTTGATTCTCTGATCTGTGCTGGCGAATCAACAGCTTTGGAAAGTCCTCTGGGATAAATACTGTTGTGAATTTGGGCTGTGAATACATTGAATTGAATTGATGAAGATGAAGATGAAGAGATTCTGTATTAGTCCCACAGTGGAGAATTGAATTAACGTGTGCGTAAAAACTATCCAAGAGCTACTTTCACCAAAAGGATTTACAAATGAAAACAGAATAGTGCGTTTTCAGTTTATTCAATTCAATTCAATTTATTTAAGTATTTCCCTAAATCACAGCAGTATTTATCTGAGAGGACTTTACAAAACTGTCGATTCACAAACACAGATCAGAAAATCAAAGACAGAACACATTGGACCAGAGGGAGAAACTCTATGTCACAAAATGCTTTTTCAAAACAGGCACTAACTGTACTTTTTTAATCATGAACTGAGACGGTCATTTCAAGGTGAATATAGTAATTATAGTGACACGGACAGATGTGCGTAACCGTGTGCCTTGTGCGTAACCGTGTGCCTTGTGCGTAACCGTGTGCCTTGTGCGTAACCGTGTCCCTTGTGCGTAACCGCGTCCCTTGTGCGTAACCGTGTGACTAAAGGGGCCAAAGCAAAGATGAGTGGTGTGTAATAAAAGAAAGTCGTGGTGTGTTCGAGGTGGAGGAATGTCCCGTCCACAGCCGCAGCCACGCGCGCGCACTTAACCCACGCTTGTAAACATCTCTCTGCGACTTTTTATCTCGTCTTGTAAAAAAAAAAGAAAGAAAAAAGAGAAACACACGCAGCTCAACGATCGCAGTATTAAAATATTTCGCCTTCGTCCTGCGCATCTGGCCGCAGACAGTGGGCCTAGTGTCACGTTTCTGCCACAAAAGAACCGTTTGATTTATTCCCCACAGCGGGTAAATACAGTCCAACCACGTGACCCAGCTCGCAGCCAATGAGCGGCCGAGGAGAGGGAAAGGGCAGGAAAAAAATTACTACCATTTTAGGGGAGGATGTAAGCCACTATAGCAGCCCATCTAAGGTTTTACAGTCGCACTTAAGTGACTTTTTATTGAAATAATAAAATAAACATGTCGCTAACGAATTATTATTCTATGATGGGGCTGCAGAGCGACGAGCCGTACGGGGCGCACTTCATCCAGGGAGGCGTGCAGGCGTCCGCGGCGAGCTGCTCCAAGCCTTCCCGGGAGGAGGAGGAGGCCAGCCCGGGTGCGATCATTCCAGACTTCTCCCATTTCTCCAACAAACCTCTGAACGGATTCTCACCCTGGGCCAACACGTCCACGTCCTCCTCCTCGTCCTCCCCGCAGCTGCAGTCCAACATCCAGGGTCTGTTCCACCCGCACCCGCTGCTCAGCCACCACCACCCCCACCAGCAGCACCACCACCTTCAGCACCACCAGCCACCGCAGCAGAGCGCATACTACGGCCCGCAGGCAGCCCCAGCACCCCCGGAGCACCTCGCCTCCTCCGCGGCGTCGGAGAGCAGGTTCGTGCGCTGCTGGGAGGGCGAGTCCGTCTGTCTCCCCCACGCTCTCCCCCACGCTCTCCCCCCGCAGAGCGACGTCTCCAGCCCCGTCATCAACACTTCCAACGCTGCGTACGAAGCGGTCAAACCAGAGAGCTCTCCCCGGGCAGACGCGAGCCCAGACGAGGCCAGCTTCAGCCCGAGCCCCGTGGTGCTGGAGCGGCTGGAACGGGTCGGCACCGCGCAGGAACTCGGGAGGAAGAGGAGCGAACCCAAGAAGGAGAGCGAGGAGAGGAAGAGCCAGAGCCAGGAGCAGCAGCAGCCGTCTGAGCCCGGTGAGAGCTGCCGTGTGCGTTTACGTGTTTATAGAGACTTTACAAGGTCTAAGGCAAGTGTGTGTGTCTGTGTGTGCCTGTGTGTGTCTATGTGGGTGTCTATGTGTGTGTGTGTGAGAAGTCTGGACACATAGGGCCTACGCGCGAGGAAGGAAGGAAGTGTGTGACTTTTATTACCCTATAAATGTCTAGTAAACGACAAAATATAAAAGTTTATTGTCCATTAAAATAATTAAATTCTTGTTTAGCAGTTTGTCACGGAGGAGGCGCTGCAGCTTGTTCTGTTTTATTTAAACTGTGTGTGTGACGTGCGGCTCAACAACAACACGCACATGGTTTAAAATGTAATGTTTGCAGTGTTTTAAACTTTGGCATTTTACACTTAACCTCAAAAGTCACTGTAGCTGTAGCTAAGACTGATACTTTACAATAGTGTTGATTCATACGTCCCTATTCAAATACACTAATCATGTACTGATCATGATAATAATGATAATAATGATAATAATGTAGGTGATTTTAGAAAGGCCTACATTTGTAATTCATGGTAATTTCGTGTTTATAAGATGTAAACAATGTGTGTATGTTTCAGTTTGTGCGTGTTTGTTTTGCTAAACACACGTAACCCTTTTACGTCGTTCTTCTCACGTTGATTTCAATTCAAATATTTATCTTAATTCACGTTTCATTTACGCAAACGTCCATTTGATTTTTAAACCGCAACTTCTTAGAATCAGAATATTTTTTTAGCGTGAGTGAAAGTAACAGGAAGTCACACTGAGTCGAAGGGCAAAGAAATAACACACAATTAAATACATATAATTCATGGATAATTACATACATGTATAATATATGGATACTAACAAGTATTTATAATTGTATAAAGGAGGGACGTGGCGCAAACACAACCATATTCATAACAATTCTTAAAATGTAAATAAAATACTTATGTTCATGGATAGACCACAAACATGTTTATTGGACACGTGCGTTATTCTATATATTAGCATATTAGCATATTAGCATATTATTATTATATTATATTAGCTGTAACATAGTTGTTTAGTCTGAGAGCCAGAGCATATACTTGTTGCTTTCTCCTGAATCATTCTTGGTTCTTTCTCTACTTTAAAGTAGAGGTGAGCAAAATATATCGTGGTCAATAATATCGTGATCTTTTCTTTACAGAGATATTTCAGTCAGAGAAGGACAGACGTTGGTCTAATGTGAGCCTAAAAAGCCATTTCAGTAAATATTTTTGGATGTGTTCTTTCTGTGTTACTTGAATTGGATTTTTAATGTTAATATTTGTTAATATTTGTTAATATTTGTTAATATATGTTAATATATGTTTGTGCATGTTTTGAGAAGAAGCTTCTTTAGATCGACACTGTCTCTGTAGATGTCCTGCAGCAAAACATTACAGATCAATCATTTTTACACAAAATGATCTGTAAAGATATTGTGACAATATCGAGGTGTTTGTTTTTGTGCATATCGCGCCCCCTTCTTTAAAGTCTCATGAAACTCTAACTTAAAGCACTTAGACTTTATTGATCCACAAGGGAAACCGGGCTGTCACAGTAGCTCGCTTAGTGTTTCACAATAAAAATAACTATCTGAAAACAATAAAATAATAATAATATTTTAAGGTTGTGGGTTCGAGTCCACCACAGACCTCCTTCATGATTCCCACTGATGTCTGCTGTAGATGTGTCCTTGGGCAAGACACCAGACACAGGATAGACAGGACACAGAATGATATAATGTTAATAATGTAGAGTCTCGCCTCTTCCGCAGGAGTTTCTCGGTTATTTACAGCTTTTCCTGCACCTCCCAAAACATGATCAAACTTTAACCACGGCCAGAGTAAAAGTACATGCTGCTGTTGTTCTTCTGGAGTCTAAAGATGGAGGACATCAGCCGCAGAAGCCATAACTCACGTCTGAAAAAGTGATCCTTAATTTATGGAGCCGTGTTTTGGAGAATGGTTTGGTTTCCTAATGAGCCCATAAAACATAAAACTTAAAACATAAAACATAAAGCAGGTTCCTGGAGGCCATTCAGGGCTTTTAACGCCGCTGTTTGAAGTGGTGCAGGACCCAGGCAGACAGTGGATCAGGCCGAGTCCCGGTCCTGGTCCTGGTCCTGGTCTAACTTGTCCCTCTGGTCCCACAGAGAACCCCTCGGCCAGCTGGATCCACGCCAAGTCCACCAGGAAGAAGCGCTGCCCCTACACCAAGCACCAGACGCTGGAGCTGGAGAAGGAGTTCCTCTACAACATGTACCTGACCCGGGACCGCAGGCTGGAGGTGGCCGGGCTCCTGAACCTGACCGAGAGGCAGGTCAAGATCTGGTTCCAGAACCGCCGCATGAAGATGAAGAAGCTGATGATCCGAGAGCGGAGGGGCGTGCACGACTGACGCTGCAGCGCCTGTGTGTAGAGGCTGTAGCACCTGTGTATAGAGGCTGCAGCGCCTGTGTATAGAGGCTGCAGCGCCTGTGTGTAGAGGCTGTAGCACCTGTGTATAGCGGCTGTAGCACCTGTGCATAGCGGTTGTAGCACCTGTGCATAGCGGCTGTAGCACCTGTGTATAGAAGCTGCAGCAGCTGTGGATGGCAGCTGCAGCACCTGTGCATAGCGGCTGTAGCACCTGTGTATAGAGGCTGCAGCACCTGTGTATAGAGGCTGCAGCGCCTGTGTATAGAGGCTGCAGCGCCTGTGTATAGAGGCTGCAGCGCCTGTGTGTAGAGGCTGCAGCACCTGTGCATAAAGGCTGCAGCGCCTGTGTATAGAGGCTGCAGCGCCTGTGTGTAGAGGCTGCAGCACCTGTGCATAGAGGCTGCAGCACCTGTGCATAGAGGCTGCAGCGCCTGTGTATAGAGGCTGCAGCGCCTGTGTATAGAGGCTGCAGCGCCTGTGCATAGCGGCTGTAGCACCTGTGCATAGCGGCTGTAGCACCTGTGTATAGAAGCTGCAGCAGCTGTGGATGGCAGCTGCAGCACCTGTGTATCTGGCACAGGAGATGAGGAAAGCTGCTGATGACATTCAACAAACTCAAGTGACCTGAAACGTGGCTGTCGTCGTTAGCGTAGCATCGTTAGCATCGTTAGCCGTTAGCAAAGCTGCCGCTGTGGAGCAGGTCCTGAAGGGGAGACCAGAGATCTGTGTGGTTTGTGTTCCTTACATTTATAGACCGCGGTGTTTAGGCCATTCTTACATTTCCTGCATCGACCTTTGATCGTTTTAACTTCAACAGAATCAGGACCAGGGACGAGTTTGACCAAAAACAACAAAAATGACAATTTTGACACAAAAAATAACTTCTTCTTCTTTTAATTCCATGTGTTTTAGTATCGCCCTAAACCACAACAGTTGTTACAGTGGGGCAAAAAAGTATTTAGTCAGCCACAGATTGTGCAAGTTCTCCCACTTAAAATAAAGACAGGTCTGTAATGTTCATCATAGGTTCACTTCAACTGTGAGAGACAGAATGTGGAAAATATATCCAGGAATTCACATTGTAGGATTTTTAAAGAATTTATTTGTAAATGATGGTGGAAAATAAGTATTTGGTCACTTCTCTGGCTCTCACAGACCTGTAACTTCTTCTTTAAGAAGCTCTTCTGTCCTCACCTCGTTACCTGTATTAATGGCTCCTGTTTGAACTAATCTGTATAAAAGACCAAATGTAACCCACAACAATATTTCAACCACTGATAATCTCCCTCGATCTGGGGCTCCACGCAAGATCTCATCCCGTGGGGTCAAAATGATCATGAGAACGGTGATCAAAAATCCCAGAACCACACGGGGGGACCTGGTGAATGACCTGCAGAGAGCTGGGACCAAAGTAACAAAGGTTACCATCAGTAACACACTACGACGACAGGGAATCAGATCCTGCAGTGCCAGACGTGTCCCCCTGCTGAAGCCAGTGCATGTCCAGGCCCGTCTGAAGTTTGCCAGAGAGCACATGGATGATCCAGGCCCGTCTGAAGTTTGCCAGAGAGCACATGGATGATCCAGGCCCGTCTGAAGTTTGCCAGAGAGCACATGGATGATCCAGGCCCGTCTGAAGTTTGCCAGAGAGCACATGGATGATCCAGGCCCGTCTGAAGTTTGCCAGAGAGCACATGGATGATCCAGGCCCGTCTGAAGTTTGCCAGAGAGCACATGGATGATCCAGGCCCGTCTGAAGTTTGCCAGAGAGCACATGGATGATACAGCAGAGGATTGGGAGAATGTCATGTGGTCAGATGAAACCAAAGTACAACTGTTTGGTATAAACTCAACTCGTCGTGTTTGGAGGAAGAAGAATACTGAGTTACATCCCAAGAACACCATACCTACTGTGAAGCATGGGGGTGGAAACATCATGCTTTGGGGCTGTTTTTCTGCTAAGGGGACAGGACGACTGATCCGTGTTAAGGAAAGAATGAATGGGGCCAGGTCTCGTGAGATTTTGAGCCAAAACCTCCTTCCATTGAGGTGAATTTTTGTTATTGACCAAATACTTATTTTCCACCATAATTTACAAATAAATTCTTTAAAAATCCTACAATGTGAATTCCTGGATTTTTTTCCACATTCTGTCTCTCACAGTTGAAGTGAACCTATGATGAACATTACAGACCTCTGTCTTTATTTTAAGTGGGAGAACTTTCACAATCGGAGGCTGACTAAATACTTTTTTGCCCCACTGTAACTTTGAGGACTTTACACAGATGCAATAACAACACCAAACTCACAAAATGTTCCTTAGTCTCGCTCCTGGTCTCTCTCCTGGTCCCTGCAGGAGGAGGCCCCTGTAGGAGGTCCCTGCAGGAGGAGGCCCCTGTAGGAGGTCTCTGCAGGAGGAGGCCCCTGTAGGAGGTCTCTGCAGGAGGAGGCCCCTGTAGGAGGTCCCTGCAGAAGGAGGCCCCTGTAGGAGGTCCCTGCAGGAGGAGACCCCTGTATTAGGTCCCTGCAGAAGGAGGCCCCTGTAGGAGGTCCCTGCAGGAGGAGACCCCTGTATTAGGTCCCTGCAGAAGGAGGCCCCTGTAGGAGGTCCCTGCAGGAGGAGACCCCTGTATTAGGTCCCTGCAGGAGGAGGCCCCTGTAGGAGGTCTCTGCAGGAGGAGGCCCCTGTAGGAGGTCCCTGCAGAAGGAGGCCCCTGTAGGAGGTCCCTGCAGGAGGAGGCCCCTGTATTAGGTCCCTGCAGAAGGAGGCCCCTGTAGGAGGTCCCTGCAGGAGGAGGCCCCTGTATGAGGTCCCTGCAGTAGGAGGCCCCTGTAGGAGGTCTCTGCAGGAGGAGGCCCCTGTAGGAGGTCTCTGCAGGAGGAGGCCCCTGTAGGAGGTCTCTGCAGGAGGAGACCCCTGTAGGAGGTCCCTGCAGAAGGAGGCCCCTGTAGGAGGTCCCTGCAGGAGGAGGCCCCTGTATTAGGTCCCTGCAGAAGGAGGCCCCTGTAGGAGGTCCCTGCAGGAGGAGGCCCCTGTATTAGGTCCCTGCAGAAGGAGGCCCCTGTAGGAGGTCTCTGCAGGAGGAGGCCCCTGTAGGAGGTCTCTGCAGGAGGAGGCCCCTGTATGAGGTCCCTGCAGGAGGAGGCCCCTGTATTAGGTCCCTGCAGAAGGAGGCCCCTGTAGGAGGTCCCTGCAGGAGGAGACCCCTGTATTAGGTCCCTGCAGAAGGAGGCCCCTGTAGGAGGTCCCTGCAGGAGGAGGCCCCTGTATTAGGTCCCTGCAGAAGGAGGCCCCTGTAGGAGGTCCCTGCAGGAGGAGGCCCCTGTATTAGGTCCCTGCAGAAGGAGGCCCCTGTAGGAGGTCCCTGCAGGAGGAGACCCCTGTATTAGGTCCCTGCAGGAGGAGGCCCCTGTAGGAGGTCTCTGCAGGAGGAGACCCCTGTATTAGGTCCCTGCAGGAGGAGGCCCCTGTAGGAGGTCTCTGCAGGAGGAGGCCCCTGTAGGAGGTCCCTGCAGTGAAACAGTATATCTCAGAAGCCTGAACACTGACTTAGCTGTTAGCCTCGTTAGCCTGGTTAGCCTGGTTAGCCTGGTTAGCCTTGTTAGCCTTGTTAGCTACAACAAAGCTAACTGACCCTTTGAAGTCTCCCATGACCAGCGCCTCTTCCAGTCGTTTATCATGGTGTTTTACGGCGCCTTCACACGTTCCCAGGTCTCCCCTAAAACAGACGACAGCAGTTATTGACACGTATATTTTTCACGACTCGTTCGTTTGTTTTTATAAAAGTGCATGTGTCCAACGGCGTCTTTGTTCTCCCGTTGTTATGGTTGTACATAACTATTGTCCGTGTTAAAATCACATTATTATATATTTGTTGTTACTGTGGGTCTGAAGAAATCTCTTTACAATCCAGTCACGGCTAAGCTACGTTCAATCCTAAATCACCAGCTCTGAGGACTTCACAGAGGATTCTCCAGATCAGAGAATCAGACGCTTCAAAGACATGGAACCAGAACCGTTGGTCCAAAAGAGTCTGGGTCTGTCCTGGGTCTGTCCTGGGTCTGTCCTGGGTCTGTCCTGGGTCTGTCCTGGGTCTGTCCTGGGTCTGTCCTCGGAGCCTCCTGCTGGAAAAGATCCACGCACAGAAAATGTCTGAAAACATTTGATCATGTGACTTTTGATCATGTGACTTTTGATCATGTGACTTTTGGACATGTGACTTTTGGACATGTGACTTTTGATCATGTGACTTTTGGACATGTGACTTTTGATCATGTGACTTTTGGACATGTGACTTTTGGACATGTGACTTTTGATCATGTGACTTTTGATCATGTGACTTTTGATCATGTGATGTTTGGACATGTGACTTTTGATCATGTGACGTTTGGACATGTGACGTTTGGACATGTGACTTTTGATCATGTGACTTTTGATCATGTGACTTTTGATCATGTGACTTTTGATCATGTGACGTTTGGACATGTGACGTTTGATCATGTGACGTTTGGACATGTGACTTTTGATCATGTGACATTTGATCATGTGACTTTTGGACATGTGACTTTTGATCATGTGACGTTTGGACATGTGACGTTTGGACATGTGACTTTTGATCATGTGACTTTTGATCATGTGACTTTTGATCATGTGATGTTTGGACATGTGACGTTTGGACATGTGACTTTTGGACATGTGACTTTTGATCATGTGACTTTTGATCATGTGACTTTTGATCATGTGATGTTTGGACATGTGACGTTTGGACATGTGACGTTTGGACATGTGACTTTTGATCATGTGACTTTTGATCATGTGACTTTTGATCATGTGACGTTTGGACATGTGACGTTTGATCATGTGACTTTTGGAGACGTTTGGGAGGCCGCTCACAGGTGTCTCACAGGTGTCTCACAGGTGTCTCACAGGTGTCTCACAGGTGTCTCACAGGTGTCTCACAGGTGTCTCACAGGTGTCTCACAGGTGTCACACAGGTGTTTCACAGGTGTCTCACAGGTGTCTCACAGGTGTCGCACAGGTGTTTCACAGGTGTCTCACAGGTGTCTCACAGGTGTCTCACAGGTGTCTCACAGGTGTCTCACAGGTGTCTCACAGGTGTCTCACAGGTGTTTCACAGGTGTCTCACAGGTGTCGCACAGGTGTCTCACAGGTGTCTCACAGGTGTCGCACAGGTGTCTCACAGGTGTCGCACAGGTGTCTCACAGGTGTCGCACAGGTGTCTCACAGGTGTCGCACAGGTGTCTCACAGGTGTCTCACAGGTGTCTCACAGGTGTCGCACAGGTGTCGCACAGGTGTCGCACAGGTGTTTCACAGGTGTCGCACAGGTGTTTCACAGGTGTCGCACAGGTGTCGCACAGGTGTCTCACAGGTGTCGCACAGGTGTCTCACAGGTGGTCTCACAGGTGTCTCACAGGTGTCTCACAGGTGTCTCACAGGTGTCTCACAGGTGTCTCACAGGTGTCTCACAGGTGTCTCACAGGTGTCTCACAGGTGTCTCACAGGTGTCTCACAGGTGTCTCACAGGTGTCTCACAGGTGTCTCACAGGTGTCTCACAGGTGTCTCACAGTGTCCAGGTGTCTCACAGGTGTCTCACAGGTGTCTCACAGGTGTTCACAGGTCTCACAGGTGTCTCACAGGTGTCTCACAGGTGTCTCACAGGTGTTCACAGGTGTCTCACAGGTGTCTCACAGGTGTCTCACAGGTGTCTCACAGGTGTCACAGGTGTCACAGGTGTCACAGGTGTCCACAGTGTCACAGGTGTCTCACAGGTGTCTCACAGGTGTCCACAGGTGTCTCACAGGTGTCTCACAGGTGTCTCACAGGTGTCTCACAGGTGTCTCACAGGTGTCTCACAGGTGTCTCACAGGTGTCTCACAGGTGTCTCACAGTGTCGCACAGGTGTCGCACAGGTGTCTCACAGGTGTCTCACAGGTTCACAGGTGTCGCACAGGTGTCTCACAGGTGTCTCACAGGTGTCCGTTCACAGGTGTCTCACAGGTGTCTCACAGGTGTCTCACAGGTGTCTCACAGGTGTCTCACAGGTGTCTCACAGGTGTCACAGGTGTCTCACAGGTGTCTCACAGGTGTCTCACAGGTGTCTCACAGGTGTCTCACAGGTGTCGCACAGGTGTCCACAGGTGTCACAGGTGTTCGCACAGGTGTCGCACAGGTGTCTCACAGGTGTCTCACAGGTGTTCACAGGTGTCGCACAGGTGTCTCACAGGTGTCGCACAGGTGTCTCACAGGTGTCTCACAGGTGTCTCACAGGTGTCTCACAGGTGTCTCACAGGTGTCTCACAGGTGTCGCACAGGTGTCTCACAGGTGTCGCACAGGTGTCTCACAGGTGTTTCACAGGTGTCGCACAGGTGTCTCACAGGTGTCTCACAGGTGTCTCACAGGTGTCGCACAGGTGTCTCACAGGTGTCTCACAG